GTTCCCTTAACAGAAGTTCTGAAGCGCGAAAAACATAAATCAAGCAAGTCAACTCACCACATATATTGACATGAGATAGATGTTTTGAAAAAAACAAACCGTTATTTAATTACATTTCATCCTAAACATACATCATTAGACAGGTACTGAACATAATCTAGCTAACATTTATAATTACAACTAAACCATTGCATGTGTAACAATCAAAGTATTTATCATAATGTACTTTAAATTTTTTTTAAAAATCAGAAAAATATCAGTTCTGCTGTTGTTTATAAATACCACTAGTACGTTGAGCAACAAGGACATTGTTATGTCACCATCGGTGTCCCATTGTGTAGTGAGCCAGGGTCCTTACCAGTGCCCAAATTCGTGTACACAATATATTGATTCACGACATAGCTAGACAGCAGATTGAGACGCACCCAATAACTCATAACGACTTGTTCTGTTCCTGAATGAATCCATGTGTGTTTGAACTAAACAAGTGAATGATTTAACGAGGACTTGAACAAAGTGTTGTTTAATTTCGATTATTACCATACAAACTCTTTCTTTTTGTGTTATTTTTTCATCCTAGTGTCAAACCATGTCTTTCTTGTTAGAAAGGTGTGTGCAGATGTGTGTAACAGGAAACTGCTGTCAGATTGGATGGGCGACAGTCTGAGTCTCTGGGGTCAACCACTGGTTTTGAGAGAGTGACAGAGCTCTTTGTAGCACTGTTGTAGAATACGAGCACAGGTGAGAGCTGGAGAGATCTTGATGAAATATTAAAGGCCTGTGAGCTGATGCAGGTCCAGGATGAGGGCACTCAGGGGGCACTGTCTCCTTAATTACTGTGTGCAGTGGTTTCACTATTTCATTTGGGAAAAATCCCAGATTGAGGTTATGTTCAAATTGCCCTTCTTCTGCCACAGAGCGAACTGGACTACAGTGCCCGGAGGATACGGCTCCTGATTTAATTAATGCTTGGGTGTGTTATGCCCTATGTTAGTGAGGGGTTAGACGAGCCATTAGGTAATAATAATGGCCCCGATGTCAATTAAACAGCATACTTAATAAGAAACAATGAATACCAATCGATGACATAAAGTTGCAATCAGAAGTATTTACAGTGTAAGCAGCTCTTCAACAGTAACGTTAATAATTATTTGCACAGATTAATTTAAATACACAGTCCAACTATAAAGCGGCTCTGGGTGTGCTGAGTTTCAGAAAGATTGGCATAGTTAAAGACCCAACCATGGTTATTAGTGTTATTAACGTAATCCCTCTCTCCTCATGGTCCCCTGGAGCATTGATCCTCCAAAATGGAGTATGGATCCCACTTTATCCACTGTCTTACAACAGCTCTACCTCACCTTGTGTGTTCTGCCTGTCCCTTCAGACTCTAGATATTCAAAGCTGTAATGTGATAATGTGGGTGCAGATGCAAAAACATATCATGACTATGTGGTTTATTGTCTACATGACCAGTATTTAAACGCATTGCATAAATGTTATGAATATGTTTTGTTTTTTTCTAGTACCATAATGATATTCTGGAAGCACAACTTTTTTTTTCAATTCACAAGAGAAAGTGTTAAAGGTCCACTGATCTTCAGTACGCCAACAAAGCCTCATCACTCCAGTCCCCCTGGACACCAGATAGTGCGGCAGAAAATCTGTCAGCCCTAAAAGAGCTTGTTGCTGAAATTGATTAGCATTTAGATTGTATCTAGTTTGATTCAAAGGAGGAGAGGCTACAGATGGTTTGAAAGCAGCAGATTTAGAAGTAGATTTTGAAAACTGTCCGTAAATGGGTGCATTTACACGCAACTCATTTCGTAGTTTTTTTTTTTTAGGCTTGTGTATCCTCCACCCCAGTGTTTCTAATAAGAAACCCGGTCTGTTATCTAAAGTCCTCTGAGGCCTGCCATTACTCACTAATCTTTTTTTAGTTCATATCAGTGCATTTGTCAACTACATGAGAGATCCCTCTTTTGGGAGAAACCTAAACCATGAGGTTTGATCTCAGATACTAATTAATTCATATGATACATTTATTAATATAAATTTAGCATCCACTAAAACCACATGACCATAAACCGAATTAAGTTCATTCATCTTCTCCTTCTGAGCCCATGTGCATTCTTCATTGCAATGGATAATGCTAAAACATGTTCCTATCAGTATGCTCTTTCCAAGGGCTTGACATTAAGAAGAATAAATAGCACTGGTTTCACAACACCACCTAATTCATCAAAGTCGCTGCCACGGGTACATGCCCAGTGTGAATGATCAAACACTAGCTGGGCTTTTGGCTCATGCTGAAGGCACCGGTGCATTAGAAGGCACGAGAACTGTCTGCTAATGAAGAAAACTATCAATCCCTTTCATGAGATGCGTTAGAAGGCTACGGATCTAGGGTTTCAATACAATAATCTGAAAACAAATCAATTTTCTGGCAAAATGTAGTGAGCTACCTAGCATTGAGGCATTTGAATGCATGAGCTGTTTCTGTAACTCTGTATTTAACCCACAGTCAGTGTTCGGCTCTACACATTTGCAAAGTAGCCTATTAAGTTAGCACCTAGGAAACCACAGCAAGATTCACAATACATCGTGCTGCTCAAGGCCTGACTCATCTTAGGCCGGCTACACACACTGGCTGCGTGGCATATCCGTTTTTATTTCGGCTCCCATGTTAACAGCTTGCACACTGCCTGCGTGACACCCGCGCCGAAAACGCGTGCATGCTAGAAATAGAACTGACGCCTATTTTTCACGCTATTTTTTGGGAGCGTTTCCAGGCAAAATAATAGGAAAAGATGTTTTTAAGTCAATTTTGACACGAATATTAATAAATTACATTTTGATGTTTGATAGTCTATAGGTTTTGACATAAATGCAGATATAAATGTAATTTTAAAAAATAATAATAAATAATTATTGATTTTCAAATATTGCTCCTGTCAATACCGAAATATTCTGTAGCCTATTTTGCCGTCAATACTGCCGACGTTGTCTGCTGTATCAGTGCTGTATGTTTAACATTAAAGTCGGCATGAAACGGAAGTTGAGATTGTCATTTTTTCCTTGTTGTGACGTATATCCGAGTGAAACGGCTTCTGAAATTAGAAAAAAATGTAGGGCGGGGCTTGATTTCGTCCTTCGGGAATTGATTGGATCGTTGGAGGTTGGGCGTTGCAAACAAAATGGAGGCAGATTTTAATGTATCTTCTCTGAGAGGCGTTGCACCGATAGCCGCACCCTCATCGGCTCTGGCCGCACCCTTTCGCCATTGCACGTGACCGAAAGAGAAGAGTGGTCGTTTCGAGGGGGGAGGGAAGGGTAATGTATTTGATTAAAGATTATAACGGTACATGAATTTAAAAAAAAATAATGAAGTGCACAGATAAATCATTTATAATAAACACTACAATATTACATATAAAAAGAAGATTTGTCAAATTTGATTTCATGCCGACTTTAAGTATTAAGTAACAGAAACGCCACGCTCACGCCACGCAGCCAGTGTGTAGCCGGCCTTTTAGATTTATTAGTGTAGTAAATGACAAGTAGCTATTTTGAAGTGTAAAAAGGAAAGATGAAGTTGGCACCAATGAGCAAGCTCTTTTCAGTCCTTACATGATTTGCTGCTGATAGTAGTGAAGTACCTGCTACTGATAATAAATTTCTGCTCAAGCAAAGATGTAGGATCTTTATTTATCTGCTGCCCTCTGCTGGCGACATTTTATAAATAGGAATTCTAGCATTTGAATTCCATGTAAAATCTTTCATTCCCCCCTTTTGTAAGGTCTGTTAGTGACTATTAAACAATGGTTTGTTACCAGAAGCCAAGTATTTTTGAACCATTTATTTGTACTATAAACAAGTATGTGTACATTAATGAATTGCCAAATTCAACTTGACGCTATTGATATTGTTAAACAAATTTGACTTATATCTAGTTGCTTCACAGTTCAAATCACACTGTCTTCATGCCTTTTACCATCTTTGGTCTAATGTGGGGACTGAATTTATTTTTAAGCATTCAACTTAATATTCTCCATACAGACTCTATGAAGAATTGCTTGCTGAGTTTAGTCCGGAAGCATGCTGGGCACAAAGGAATGACTGCAAATAACACCCCCCACCACCCCACATACACACACTCACACACTTAAAGCAGCCTTTGCAAATGTTTTAAAAGTATCACATAAATTGCTATTATTTTCCTCCATTTCAGTTATCCCACAGTGATGATTACACTCCATATGCATGTGGTGCCATGGAAAATCCATTTGCATTCTGGCTTTTAATACATTTCGCGTTAGTAGTCTCTTAAAACTGCATTAAAATATTTCCCCATTAAGATGAGAAATATGATGTTTTGTGGTTTTACTTGTTTGGGTTGTTAAATGTTCCATTATGATTTTATCATGAGCATCTGATATAATTTCAGAAAAGTAAAACAGATTTGCTATTGGTGTTTGGAATATAGTTTATATAGGGATGCAAAGAAACAACAGGGAAAAAATATTCACATACAGTACCCAAAGAAAAAGACATTTGATGTCAATTGATGTGACATGTCAATAAAGTGATTTAATTGTACAGTCACACAGTGAACACCTTTTTTGCACATCTATAAACCTACACATGAACTGGCTCTTATAAATGCAAAAAAAATAAGGTATCTTGGTGGGAAAATGACTGAAAATGACATTCAGTTCACTCAAAATAGTATAATTACAATAGCATGTGTCTCACAACATAACTGAGAAAACTGAAAAAAATACTGTTAACCGCCCATCTGGTGGGAAATACCATAATCATGTCTTCAAGTCAAACTAAATGTGTTATATGATCCAAGATTTGCATCTGTTGCTCATCTTAAGTGTTGAGCAATCACTTTTTGTTCTTTAGCAGATATAGACAGTCTAAACTCAGTTTTGTCTGTATGATTTAACTATATAAACATTGCTTAAATATCAGGATAAAAAAAAAAAGTTTGCAAAAAATGCAACATTTGGAGGAAATATACTGACATACTTCCCCAAAAGTGATCTTTTGGTGCAATATGAAAAAGGCAAACACATTTACAAAAAAGAATGACTGACTGTATGTCTTTTATAACCCAGCTTCTCCATCACAGGCCAACATGTATCCTCAATGAGTTTAATCTCATCTATGGCCATATTCGTCTTCCACATGTTGATTTTGGCAGGTGATATATCTCCTTCATACATCAGATTAAACAAATTTGTGGACGTGGCAAATGTCAGCTGGTTTAATGCAGCTGGTGCAACAGGTATTCCAATAAAGTTATGTATCGTTCTCGCCGTCTTTTCAGGAAAATATACAACGTCCTCGAATTTGACTATAAAGTAAGTGTGTGTGGGGAGGTTTGCGCTCACCTTGAGCCCTGCTGAATTGTGAGCCAGCCATAGCTGAGCTAGCAGCTGTACAGGGTTGGGATCTGGCTGGGAGAGGATCTTCTTTAAAGGAAGAAACTGTGAGTCCACTGTAGAACAGCCCTGATCCACACCATCAATGTTCTGCTTAAAAATGTTGGTGATGTGCCTTTTAATATTCTTACGTAAGTACAGGCTTGGCTTACTGCTGTAGAGCATTAGATAAATCCATGCACGTGGGTCTCTGACTACATGAACTGAGCGAAGTGAGCGACCTATGACCTCTTGAAGATACGGCAACTTCAAGGACCAGCCACCACTGCCCATGCTCAGCACCGGCCGGGCATTTGGGTACTTCACCAGGTGCTGCCTGAGCTCTTGTATGTATCCGATGTCCAAACGCTTTCTGCTTCCTGTCCTTGTTCGCTCTGACAGCAGCATTCTTCTCTTTCTTTGTCCTTTCTCTTTGACATTATTCCCTGTTTCGTCATTGCTATGGTGCAACTGAATGTTCTGCAGGTGCATTTTCACATTGTGGACTATGGAGTGGAACCATCCCTGAATAACTCGAAATCGTCCATTTTGAGCATCTGCTCCAGACCACTCGCAAGCGTCCACCAGAGAGACAAAAGGAGACACAGGAAACCGCAGGTAGGTGGAAGGGATCCGGAGGTATACAAAGTCAGAGCTGTTATCAAAAAGGAGCTGAAGGATCTCCGCGCCAGAGCCCGGCATAGATGTGATGGTGATGACGGGGAGGAGGTCAGGGACGCTAGAGTCTGTTCCATCATATATGCTGCTGTCTTTTGATTTGACTTTGCACGAGAGCTGTTCGCAGACGTAAAAAACAGACAAAAGTTCAGTCACCCACAAAAACAGCACACATATCAGAGTGCAATGAATTAGCATTTTGAACGACACATGAAATGTCCTCTTTTTTATTATGAAAGCTAAAGCAAAACATAAAGTCAGTATCACAGAGATGTTTACTGCCAATCCAAAGTCAAACACAAAATCGTTTGTGACTTGACTTGGCAAAGTTTGAATTCCCTGGCCAAACTGAACTATTCTTTGATTGTCTTCTGTTTTAGCAAAGCCAGCAAAGCCCAAGTAACTGTGTCTAGCTTCAATGTCTTTGTAATTTGTTACAACTGATACAACAGTCTCAGTGTCATTAAGAGTTACTGATATCTTTACTCCATTTTTACTCTTGTCTATGAATCTACAGTCCGAGACCTTGACGTATGGGCCATACATCAAGTAAGCAACTCTGGCAACAGGGTTCTCCATTGGAAAGGTCACGTTTAAGAACTGCGTCCATCTCTTTTTGAATTCCGCAGCCTGTTCTGCCTCTTGTATCCTGGCAACGGGGCTGGATCCTTGCATGTCCAGCCAAAACATTTTGTAATGTGCATCCCACACATCCATCAGAGCCCCATTGTATTTTCCAAACGATCTGTGAGGAACGTATCTGAAATCGATGTCTAGGTTGTGAAAAAACGCACTGAGGGAACTGAGAGGGGAGTGCTCATGTTTCTCAATGTGGTCCAGCACAAATAATGTTTGAGAGTTAAGAAGCACAAGTGACCGATACACACTCTTTAGCTTCATGGCGGATGAATAGGCTGAAGCAGACTCTCCACTCACAAACAACATGTCCTCATGCGACGAAGCTGCGATGACCTCCCCGGCGGTTTCCCCAACTTCCTTTTCACCCCATCGTAGCCACTTTGAACATTCCCCCAACTGTCCTTCCCATGGCTGATTACACTGGCTGGTGGGTGAGGGGGAAAATACCAGCACATTGTTAAGATAGCTGTATTTAGGACCATACAAGGCTTCAGAAACAAACATCTGTCCATTTGGTGCAAAAGTGAAGGAGTTTTGATCAGGGTGCTCATGCCCTGGGTTGAAGTTCGTCCAGCCTTCTACCCAAGAATAAGGTTTGGCATGGACAATATCGTACACCGCTCGCCCTCCTAATTTTCCAGATTTAAATGACACAAAGGTATTACCCTGAGCTTGAGGTAACCCTGCCCCATACGTCACTACACCCCAGTTGGAGAAAACGTGCATGGTTGCTTTGTTAAAGTCAGGCGGAGGCGATGAATTTAACTCAGAGTCATACCATATGTACTCTGTATGCAAAGTAGCCCAGCGTTGGGCTGCTGATTGCATCATGGGTCCATCTTTAGGACGATGCTTCCTAATCTGCTCTGCCAGCCAGTTTCCCGAGCCATTTCGGAGCACGTATGCATCCAAAAATACAAGCTGGCTTTCAGGCCCATAGAACCAGTTGTAATTGGAGTCTGCAATGCCAACCGTTCGTTGAAATCCAGGAAGCAGAGTTGCAAAGTAAAACATGAAGTGAGCTCTGAACCAGTTGTTCTGCGTGTTGTCTATCTGAAAATGACGCAACGCTAAGTAAACATACTGAGTGATGGATTTTGCTGTGTAGCTACCATATGCAACACCCTCATCGAGAGAGCCATCGACAATGTGGCTGAGAAGGAACATGGTCTTTTCCATGTAGTTCACTGATATTTGCTTCCATATCATGGTCTCTGGGTCATTATGTTCCCCTGCCACAAGAGCGCCAATGAGAATGGCTAGTATATTAGTTGTCTGGTGGTTCTGTAGAAACTGTTTTCCCCATCCTCTGTGCTTGGAGAGCTCGAAAAGCTCCTCGGTAACAGATCGTATTTTCTTGAGATATCGCAATCTTCTGCGGGTGTTAAGAAAGGTGTAGATGAAATCATACGCAGTGGCAAAACCAGTGAGGGAGTGGGCAATAGGAACCTCATCATTTGGGGCACTGGACACCATCCAATCTGGATACTCCACCATTCTGTCCATGTACTCAATCAAAAACTGAGAGGCGGCAGCATCCTCAGGTTGAAGCAGACAGTACAGCGCAAGAGGTGGCAAATTGTTGCCATAAATCTCATTCCATTTCTTTCCGAAATCCTCGTGGTTCACCGGAGGCTGGTAAGCAGCTGCATTGGATAACATAACAGAAACAGCATTTTGAATCACTTTGAATATGTGTCTATGCGTGGTGGTGGCCCTCTGTTTCATGAAACGCACCTCTGTCTGATCAAAGTATAGCTTGGGGTGAAGGTGTGATGACAAGGTGGTATTGTCTGTTTGGTGTTCTTTCAAAGACACATATCTGTCTGAGGCAGACGAAATTCCACAGAAAACAAGTCCCACAGCCAAGACACAGAGCAGAACCGCAGACCTTTGCATGTTCTCCATGACCATGATCCAAAAAACAGATGTGGTGCTTTTCTCTTTGAAAGCTCCTCCTCCAAAGCGCCCAAAAATTGTTATTACTCCAACTTAATTCACATGTAGGGCTGCAGATATTATTTTCCTTTAAGGCAAAAACCCCATGTGTCTATGGTATTTATGTAGCGAGTAGGCAACGTTCAGATTTCGTTGAGAAAACATGCTTTCAACTCCATAATAGTGTTCCGTCTAAACTAAAGCTTCATAAACCCACGCAAAACAAAAAATCTACCGCATTTATTTGTACGCTGTTGTATATTCAACTGGATAATGTCGATATCATCTCTCGTTAATATTTACAACTACATCCGCTCGTCATAACGGAAATATCATAAATGAAGAGATGTGTCAAATAAACTTCCGTTTTTAGAATCCGTCATTACAAGTTTGATCCGCTGTTTCCAGAGAAAGTTGCAGCGTTCACCGGTAACTGTTCACACCATGTTAAGTCACTGTTAACGCCTTTTACTCATCCTGTGACACGAGAAGCGAGATAATCCATTAATCCACTTTGAGGTGAAGTAAATTTACCGCTTGCTGGGACGTTTGTGGTGATGTTTTCAGCAGACATAAAGCAGACATATTTGAAGAATCCATATGCTTTCAAGCCATTTCAGTGTCACTTTTTAGGTTTTAGGGTTAAGTTTCCTCCATTAAATTCTTCCATGACAGAATTGTAACAGTGTTATAAGGCAAGTCGCTTTTTCCATCTTCCAAACTATCTAGTTGCTATCACTTTCGGCATTAACAATTTGTAATATGGTCGATAGATGGCGTCGTAATATCACATTGTGTGGTTTTATATATTTCCGGTAATCATGTCGTTTGATTTAAAACTGATCAAATGCTATAGGCTACTAATATAAAGTATAGTTTTATAGTTGTCAATTATTTCATGTAATTTAGCCACAGTCAGAATATAGTTTGACTTCGAAGCAGACACAGGTCACAGCAATGGGTTGAGAACTCATACTTGGCCTTTTAAATACAAAAAGTAAAGAAAAAATACCCAGGGACTTCCAACATGTAGTAGAATGTTCAAATGAATTTGAACACAACTTGTTTACACCATACATATATGGCCATATAGCATATGTGCTTTATTCATTTGATTTAAAATATTTATAGACTTGTTTCACATGATGGAAGCTTAATAAAATAAATTAAGTTGATTAAGTTATTTGAACTTTATTTGATAAAGAAACCAACCCCAATATCAACAATGCAGACCGGGAAAACAATTTATAAAAATGGGGAAAGCAGTATTAAATACTATGATGTTACAGATTAACATGATCCTAAATAAACAGTCCATGTTAATCCTCTTTCTTTGCTTCAGAGGTTTTTTCTGTGCTGCCAGGCTGCAATTCTGTTGCTTTCTTCCCGTGTGCATCCAAAGCAGGACTGGCTGTAGCTCCTTCCTCAGGTTTTTCATCATATGTTGGTACAGCAGTACATGTAGCCCAGATAACCATTACAGCTATGCCCACAGGCAGTCCACACACAAAACAGGAGAAGATCGGAGCTGTCTGGAACATTGACTGAGATAGAGGAGATTTATATTAGTTACTGGGACAACAGTGACCAAAATATTAGCCTCAAGTAAATATTTGATGAGGATGTGATCAGCCGTGTGCTTTGGTTTTGGTGCGTTAAGCGTTTAGTAAATATTTGGAAAAAAATGTAATAAGAGTAAATCTATCCTTCTGCTAAAATAATAGGTGTTGTCAGACTTACCACCACAGTAGACTTCGCTTTAAAGAAAGTTCTCTTAATGCACTGCAAAACCCCATTTCCTCCGAGTAGCTGGTTAAGGTAAAATGGAATTTTATTAGAAAAGGCCCATCGTATTTCGCAAGAAGGAAGTTATATTACAGAAAAGATGGATAAGAAAACCCCTTCGCGCCTCATACCGAAGTGCTGCCATCCAGAACGCTGTTGAGAAAGCGAAGTAAATCTTCAATGGTCTCAATCTTACTTTCTGGTAGATAGTATCCATCAATGGTCATATTCAGCACAATTATGGAGGGGATCACAACTTCTCTGTGAAGAAGAAACATTGTAATATGGTGATTATACAAAAATATATGAGCACAGAATGGACTTCTCTGTAATATATATATCATTTTGTATGCATCTATGCCAGTGGCTTTAAATACAGTTCTTGCACTTTGCACCTGCTGAAATCTGCGTCCAATTCAACTCACCCCATAATTAAACCGTTTATATATTCATTACCATCCATATAACCAAACTGGTAATCACTAGGAGAAGAAAAAAACAATATGGCCTTTGTTAACAAATACTTTGATAAACTCAGATGTCAGGTGCTGTTTTTGTTTATAGTTCATATATATTTGCAACCTACCTTTTATAATGATCTCTGTATTCAGTAGACAGCCTTTCCATCAGAGTTTTGTAACTAAAGAGAAATAATGGTGGGGGAAAACTGGCTATTGTCATGGTTTTGATGTCTTCCGTGCACATTTTCTAATGTTACTTACCGAATGCTTTCTTCAGATGGATTTTTCTCATCTACTACTGCCAATGCCACAAGTTTACCTTTGAGGAAAGTGTGAGAAACGAACAGTGACACAACAAATTATGTATGCATGGGAAGTTCACATAATTACAATCTGTCAAAGCATCGTTTTCACACATAAATATTGTATCTTGGCAGAAAGTCATCTAGCAGTTTTGTTTTATCACCTAGTGGCAAAAACATAGAAATGGTGTTAATTAAAGACAATGCAGTTTGTAAATTGAATAGGTTATTAGAAAATAAGACAAATAAAAGAAATACTATATGTTCATATAGAAAGACATGCTTACTTTGTTCTCCCATCTGGTACAGACTGAAGCTATCGATTTGGAAGTAAGTGGGAAAACGTTCTCGATTTATCCAGAAAGACAGATCACCATCAAGAAATTCTATAGAAATGATAAAACAAGAGAGATTGAACTTTTTATTACTTCATGTACATTTAATGTGTTCATGTATTAAATGTAGCCCTACACTTATTAAAGGTCACCATCAAGCCTGTGCAAACAATATGCAAAGTTAAACACTCAAAAATGTTTAATCATAAGAAACAAATGATCTTTCATTTTATTATCAAAGTGTTTCTGTTCACTAACTGTGCATTAAATTATGCAAAATACGTTACTTCCACACAGTCAAGTTGTTGACTTAAAGGGTGTGTATTTGATGATAGCCCAGACGATGTTCAGAATAAGCCACATGACAGAGGAGAGCTGGAACACGTTACTGTCTCTGTATTCTCATAATTTGGAATATAATGGTAAGAAACCATTGCTATATTCATAATGTCTTCACAAAAATCTTTTCACTTGTTTCTTATATACGTGCAAGAACCTGTGAGTACTTATAACAAGTACTTTTATGCCTGAATTCCAGCAATAAAGAAAATGTAAATGTGCTTTCATATCAGATATATTGGTGTGCTGTGACCTGTAATATTTATTTAACATTTTTGTGAACTTTTTTCACCTTTTATTGTCTGTTTATGCTTCTGTTTTTATTAGAAGGATTGCCATCTGAACTATGTTATGAAAAGAGCCCATTTAACAATGTAAATAATGTCAGGTAAGCGATACATAAGGACTGACTTCCAAGTTGAAACAATTGCATGGATATCAGGAGTTTTTTGGCAGTGATAAGACAAGTGCGGGCAGAAATGTGATCTTTGAGCATTAATTTAAAAATACAATTCTGACAAAATCTGTATTTCTTTTTAGGTAATCAAGAAGATGTTAATACATAATATCTGCTTCAGAATCTACATTCTACACCTTGTCTTTAACCTTGCTCCATGGATGTGTTAACTATTCATATCGTGGAGGACTCGTCTGACAGTGCCGCGTTCTGGGTCCAAGTTCGGTGTGCTGATCCTTTCCTGCTAAATTTCTGGCTCCAAAAGACCTTCTTCAACAATGGGGAAGTCCAGCAGATCAACACCCTGAGGATAAACGGCTGTCATGGGCTAGTGTTTGTTTTGAGGGTGCTGCATCGTTCTTCACGCCTGCCTAATTCCCATTATTGGTGCCCTTTCCTAGTGACACTCTGCCTCGATGCCCTGGCATTTCACTACCACCTCCCCTCTCTGCCCCAGTGGAACGGCACCCTTCGAGAGGCGATGAGAGGAAACAGCCTTGAACTCAGACGCTGAGAGACTATGAGATTTTGCTGCTTACAGATCCTGTTAGTTTCAGATATTTGCTTAGTAAAGTGATGCACTGCAAGAAGTACATCTTACCATTGTAGAGGTAGTACGTGCCATCTTTGAACACAGCAACAACGGGAACATCATGCAGAGTGACTGCCTATGGAGAAAATCAATAATGGTTTATTTTCTAAGAAGTTAAAAAAATCTTTTTAATTTTCTCTGAAAAGTGAAACTTTTACCTTTGGAAGGATTTCCTCAGATGCAGAGAAAAAATAAGTGTGGACAATATACTCAGTTGCAGCTTTATAGTATTCCTTCTGTTAAAAACAAAACAAAAAAAACATTGAATTATATTTCACTAGCAGTCGAAGATGATCCATTCCTGAATGACTTTGCATGACTTGCCAATAAATATATTCACACAGTTTATTTATAAAACAATAATAAAATACTAAAATACTAATAGTAGTAGTTGGGAACTCATGCTCTACTGTTCATTAGTTTGCATTTCATTCCTATTCCAACGTAATTCAGTCAATCATTGTACATAATTCCTGTATGACAGACATTCATTTTACATATTTTTTACCTTAAGAAGCGACTCCCCTCCAATGTAAACGTAGATAAGATCATGACGACTCATAACATGCTGGAACAACTGAACACTAGAGAGTGGTCTTACCACAGGACTAGATTAAATAAAAAAGGACAAGGGGATTGCATGAAGAGAATTACAACTAGCACTGACATAAGACTAAGGTCAGTGCAGAACACGAAAGACACAATACAATTCATTATGGTGAGATTTACTCTAGAATTACCCTGCAACTCTATTGGTAAATTCAATAATAGCATCCTTTGTTCTTGGCCCTTGGTAGTCAAAAGACAGGTCTCCTTTAAATCTTTTTAAGAGAACAAAACAAATAAAAAGAGTCAAATACAGCATGGACAATAATTGACATATGATTTATATATGATAACAAGTAGGCATTAACTCACAGTTTTATGGTTGGATATCCACGAATATTAAACTCTGAAGCAATGCCTAAAGACACAAGAGATCAAGCTTTCGTGTTTTATTTGCAATAATTATTATTATTTTGTACTTATACATCAGTGGAGACGCATTTCAGAATAGAGATAATAATGGTAGCATTCGTTAAATAACTCATACTTAAAAGATTGTCTTTAGTTAATTGTAGCTATATCATTATAGATCACGAATTATTGTTAATTTGCTTGGATTTTTTTAAACACTAATCTAATCTAATCTAATCTAATCTAATTAATAACAGGGTTTACCAATGGTGGGGGGTAAAACAAAAGACATGGGCTACATTTTATTTAGCTAGAAAGCTTATGTGTGAACTTAATAATAAGATTATTATTAAGTCAGAAGACAATGACAGCAAAAGGCAGACACTGAACAACCTAATTCCAAGAAACTAAAAGGATTGCTGAAATGCAACTTCTGCCATATGGCCATCTGGTTAACAAGATACAGACTCAATACAGACTATGTATACAGTTCAACGAACTGAGTCTCATGAACGCAAGGCCTCCTTAACTAATCCCATTAAACAGCAGGTAAGCCTATCCTGCCGTTTAAGTAGCATACTAATTGGTTGCTAAGCAATGGCCTGGTGTGGCATTACCATTACTGTCATCTCAAACCAAGCTACAGCACAAGCTTTCATCTGAGGATCCTAAGGGGGGTATGGCATAAATGTAGTTCTTGGTAATCTTAAAAATAATTTTAGGTATGCATTCAGTGTAACCAAAGCTTTCCAACATACACACTTTTGCACACACATGAATGGAACCCACTTGTGTGCTCTGTGGTATCCATCTTGCCGACATTAACAGGAGAGCCCAGACTCTTCAGCTCTGCACCAACTTCATACCATATAGGCTCAAATGTGTGACAGTATGCGCACCATGGAGCATAAAACTGCAATAAAACAAAACAAAAAAAATACCTTCATGATATCACACAGTTGGCATGTTAGAAATTTGCAAAACACACAACATAAAATTGCATAAATTAGACTGCACTGTATACACTCTCACCTCCACCAGCCAGAGTTCATCCTGTCGGTATTCCTTAAACCTGTAAATGTGGACTGTTTAATGCATTCAATCAAACATTCATAAATGTCTATCTGTCTGTGTCTGTTTATATTATTAATATATATAGTATAGCTAAATAGATAGACAGACAGATACAATTAGCCTATAAACAATTCTATCTATCTATCTATCTATCTATCTATCTATCTATCTATCTATCTATATATCTATCTATATATATATCTATATATGTATGTATATTATTAATATAAATAGTATAACTAGATAGATAGTCACAGATAAAATTATATAGGCTATATCTATTATTACGCAAAATCATTAAGTGGCATTTCTCAAGATCTCAGTACGTTGCATGCAACAAAAATAACTACGCTGCATTGACAACACCTACACTACTCAAGCACAATCAGTTCCTTTACAATGTGAAGCACTTATAATAGCTTACTTGTCATCGAGTTCCTCCACGTATCCTGACACCACAACAATGACCGAAAGAAGCGCTATCACAAAAAAATAATAATAATAAATGCAGTAACTTACAGTTAGACAATACGTGTCAATCAGTCGTGTTAATAAGATTAGTATTTTGCAGTTTTATATTGGCGAACATGGTGTCCAATTACTAGGCTTTCATACAGTACCTGTAAGTATTAAGTTTCTCATTCTTGCAATCCTTGTATCTAGTCATTAACCGCGCAATGTCCTTTAATGTTAGCCTACAGACAGCAGAGTCGGTGTTGGGTTGGTGACATATAGGCTAATCATCAGACTGGTAGTAATAAGCTCTTGACCGACTGACTAGATTAACCCCATTGCCCCGAGGGGTAGGAGCGAAATTGACAGATTTAGGCCACAAATTGAATTTGGACAAGTGCATGGTTTCATCGCGCAACTCTAATTAGTTTGAATTAGATTTTAGTCTTGTATTTTCCAGCGTACACCAAACACATGAAAACACTGTATCAGTCTAAATAGACCTAACAACATCACTTTTAAATCTTTAAAACTGTTAAAAACTATGTGTTTGATATCACTCAATGGCAATTTAATATATTTAGATAAGCCAGTTTACCAACTAAACCGCAAACTCTCCCAATATCGGTCTTCTTATTGTTGTTGTCATTTTGGTTCCACTTTGTATTATCGTAACTATCTAAGCCTATAGTAATAAATAAAATATTGTGTTTGTATCAAAAGATTTTGCTGCTATTGATGTGGAATAAGTGTAGATGTTAGGGACAGTAGGTTCTTAAGTGGTGTCAACAGTGCAACTAAGAAATTAATTGATTTAGCCTATAGGCTAGCTAGGCTACATGCATTTTAAAACAGAAGTAGGCCTACAATAAGTGCACTGTATCAACTTAATGTAAATATTAGAAAACTTTATATAAAGGGGGTATATTATTATTATTATTATTATTATTATTATACAATTGACAACTCTATTAGGCTTCATGAATCATATCGTTTTACCTTAAAGAATGTTTTCTCTGCCAAAAGATGGCGCCATAATCCAATTAGATTGGAATACAGCTGCTTCGTGTTTTCTCCAGTAGCACCTCATTGCAGTACAGGAGATCCAGGGGGCGGAGTTGGATCCAGATCTAAGGGGTGGAGATGGGTAGGATTAGGGGTGGGGTTAGGGATCAGAGGGTGGAGATGGGTAGGATTAGGGATCAGGGGGCGGAGATGGGTAGGTTTAGGTATATGTAAGGTGGGAGGAGTTGGATCTGGATCCAACTCCTCCCCCTGGATTTCGTGTTCTGCAGCGAGGACCATCTCGTTTTATTGGAAGGCAGCTCTGTGCTAAAATATAAGTGGGCATCATTACATTAATCCTATATAGGCTACATAACAATTTACCCACAGTGGGTTAGTAGGCTAATTTTAGAATTTCTAACGGAATAAATACTTAAAATGTTGTCAATGCATTCCCTCACAATTGTTTGTTGTTCTTACAATTGTTTTCGATCTCATAATACAATGGAATGCATTTTAAAACACACAGAGATGTTAAGAATACGGCCTAATAACCATTACTAATGTGAATCTACTTTTGTATATGTATTTTATTATGCCATATAATCAAGCCTATCATTGCACAACTGTACCTTGAGTAAACATTTTGATTCGCGGAAAGACGAGTCAATCAATCGAAATACCCGCCCACAGTGGTATCTGCCTCCCCAGTGATTGGTTCAAAATAATACCGTTTAAGAAGTCTCTTGTATCTCTATGGCCGACGTTGACGTCCATCTCCATCAAATGAAAACGTAAGTTTTGGTCCGTGGGGAGAGGCAACTGTTATGGAAGTGGCTGTCTCTTGAATATATTTCATTGCATTTTAACTCACCCTAAGTGGAATTACGTCTTTGGCGATTCACTGCTTGCTAAATTAGTTAGGAATATAGAAACCGATTTGAAGAGCCTGACAGGATATTGAAAGAATGACTCCCTAGAAAGAGCTCGCGCTTTATTTATTTTCTCTTGACCGCTTCATGTTTGTGGACAGAACGACGAAACATACGCAGTTATCTATTTGTGCACGTTGAAAATTGCGTTTTTGTAGAAAAGTTGATTATAGTTCAGCGGTAAATTAAGTTTTAATACGCTCACACGGAGCTTGTGTTGTTTAATTCGTCTTGCAGTTCAAATATAGCCTAGCCGACGCTTGGTCAAAACAGGCAATTATATCTACATGTTAATGGATTGTAGTGTATGGCCCTTGTTTGCTATTTCAAAATGCAATGGGACTAAGTGAGGCCTTTCGATCGCCAGAATATCTTTGCTTCACTTTCAAGCCCGATGACCAGGTAAGACAATTAACTTTTTCTGTACGATCTTTCCTCTTGGTTTTAAAGTACGTTGAACGTGATACCCACGCGCGTGTATCAGTAAACAATTAAAACGCGCTTTGGTGTTCACATAATGAGTAACCGTTTAATGACAGCAATGCAGTTGCACCTGATCACCATTCTCAGCGGTATTCTGGCGCTTATTGTTTTGCAGAAACCGAGTTCACTTTCGGTCAGCAACTCAGCATCAATTATGCGATCTCGGATTGCAACACTTGCACTTCCGAGTTGTTTTCGCGTCCGCTTTCTTCTGCTTCCCTAGTAACTACCCACCACGCGCAGTGTGTATAGCAGTTTTCAAATTCAACCTGATTGCTAGGAAACGTTGCCATAGTTTCCTAACGTATGTGTTCTTCGTTTATTAAATGATGGGGATGGTTTGTAATAATTCAACAAAACCGTTCAATTGTTAATAAATCGTTGTTGTAATTTTATATATTGACCCGGTGAAGTGAATTATGTGTTTAGGCCTGTAAAGTGTCTTAAGTATGCTCGTTAATAGGACTATTTACGTCTAAGCACTTCTTAGCAACATCTTGAGCAGATTTTGAGGTGTTAAGATGATTCATGATAAATAACTCCTTGCTGTTTTCCCACTGTTAAGTATGTCAAATGCATGCACTAAATGTGTGGTATGAGCTGAAAAATGTCTGTACAAGATGGTCAAGTCCTTCTCATTTCTTATTTCTAATCTTTGGAATGTCAGACATGCAGTTGTTCACACCATAAGCGAGGTCGCTCTGTCTAATTATTATGTCATTTAAAATACCTGGAACCTGTAGATTGTGAAGGCATTACAACCTCTTTTGGAATGTGTCTGTCTTTTTGGCTGCTAGAGATCATGAGTCAGATAGTAGAGTATAGTGCTACATCAAATTGAGGTCTTGTTGTGCAATGTTTAGTTAGCTTACTGTCATTGTTGTTGTTTTGGTGGAACCCCTTTGTAGTTGCCTATATAGTGCATAATTTTTGACCTTGTGACATGCTTATTTCCAGGCTGAGAGGGTTATTTTTGGAAATAAGAGATTGGTATATAGGTCAAATCATGCAGTAAGTTGAACATTATTAAGTGTTTGCTTCCCTTAAGGCTTTCCCAACTGAAGGTCAAGTTTGAAATGAGCTCTGTGGAAAGTTGCCACTGGATTCATGATCAAAACAGCTGTTTTAGGGCTTGTCTTTAGTGGTCCAGTCCTTCTTACATACTCCAACTCAGAACACACTGTAGTTTTGGTTGCTTTCTACAGTAAATCACATAATTGAGTGAATGTTTATGGAAACAAAAACAGAGGGACAGCCCACTTTAATTATTATTGAAAGTTAGCCATATGATTGGCTCCTTCATTTGAAAATCACAGGAGGAATCTACAGGAATGGACTGAGTTGATTTATCACAATATAGTGAGTAGAGCCAGCTGTTGAGCAGCCTAGGGCCTGCGTAAATGTTTTGGTCCTTTTTAAAGTGGCTTTTTACTGGGGTGTGGCACTCGACTGTGAGAGTGGGAAGCCAGAGTTTAGATCCTGGCAGAGTTTTGTTTATTTATTTATTTCCCTATTTCATTCCCAAGCTTATAACTGGAACATTGCAGGGACAGTTTATCCCATATCCGTCCTCTGTTTTATATGTCTTTTTCTTTTCTTGTTTTTCAAACAATTTCAAGTTTGTTTGCAAACCGGCTACTTGAATATAGATGGTAACAATCGTGACATTAAACATTTGGGTCGGACTTGCGTTTGTTTTTGTTACATAGTTTTAACTGCTTGAGGTACTACTAATGTTGTTAGCATCCTCTCAGCCTCCATGGCAAATATACTGCTGTTCTCTTACGAGAGGTTCTCTCGTACTGCGTGCGTAATATCTTACGCTCGGGGAAAACCTCTTTTCCACGAGATATTGAAGCCAAAAATTATCCTTAATTTTGAATTAATGTAAAACGCGTTGCGGCAGCATGCAGACATAGGCAAGGTGGCTCACGTGCCTATTGGCTGTCCTGCGGCAACTGCAGCAGCCTATCGAGAGAGGCCCTTGGTGACGTCAAATCCAATGGGGGCGTTTCGCGCCCACTACGTCACTTCCCGCCAAAGCGGGCGTGGCCTGGGCCTATAAATATAGCTCGATGGGCTGATATAATCTGATTTTTCATCTCTTCAACGAAGCTCACGCATCACTGGATCCGGAGTGAAGAAGCCGCGCCGTCTGAGAAAAGCTTTCTGCGGGACAAGCCTTTGCATCTGAAGCTGCTGGCCTTCATCTCGCCGCCTTCAGTTGCCGTACCTGCTACGCTTTCTGGCGTTTATCCTTTTACTCTGTCGAGTGTGTGTTCGCCGCTGCGACTCTCTCTCTCTCTCTCTCTCTCTCTCTCTCTCTCTCTCTCTCTCTCTCTCTCTCTCTCTCTCTCTCTCTCTCTCTCTCTCTCTCTCTCTCTCTCTCTCTCTCTCTCTCTCTCTCTCTCTCTCTCTCTCTCTCTCTCTCTCTCTCTCTCTAAAAGAGCAGGGTCTTTTTAAAGATGCCTCGTTCCTGTGGCTCGTGCCGAGCCGCACTCAGCGACGGGGTCCGCCATTTCATCTGCGTTTCCTGCCTGGGTAAGGATCATACAGCTCTCGCGCTCGCTGACGGCGGCTGCCATCATTGCGAGCTATTGCCATGGTAACTGAGGACTCACCTGGCATTTTTCTCAGAGTCTGCACTTCCGCCCGCTGTAGTGCCGCGGCGTAAAAAGCGCCGTACTCAGCGGGTCCCCGAGCCTTCTCCAGCCCGTGAAAACTCGCCGGTTCGCCCGCGAGCTTCACCAGCTTCACTCGAGTCGCTCACCGACGGACAACGGCCGCCGTCCGCCGCCGCTTCCGCCATTAATGACGACGAGATAGCTGCATCTGTAGAGGAGGCCAGCTGCTCTATCCTGGCGTCGGACAGTGAGGATTGGGCGAGCTCTGTGGAACTCCCCTGCACGCATGGGCCATCAACGGGTACCCGCAAACCTCCCGGAGGGAGTGTTAAACACGATCACGCAGGCTAGAACGCCGTCTACTAGACGGCTCTATTCCTCAAAATGGTCTGTGTTTTCTGGCTGGTGCAAAGCCTGAGGCTTTTCACCCCTAGACTGCGGGGTTACGAAAGTTCTCTCCTTCCTTTAACAGGGTACCCGCGGGTCTTGAAAAAGTCTTGAATTTGATCATCTCAAATTAAGGCCTTAAAAGCCTTGAATTTTGTATACCAAGTCTTGGATTTCGTTACAAAGGTCTTATTTATGTTTTTGCCTTTGCTAGGATTAAGTTCATACCGTAACTAAATTAACTGTTACTAATGTAGGCTAATTCAAAATGTATGCAACGTTGAGTTTGGTTGAGTGCACCTCGCGCTCCACGTCATAGCAGAAAAAGCGATCGCGTGCGCACCCGTTACTATGGTTACTAGGCAAGTGAGGTACAGAACAAGATAGTACCTAGCCTAGTTTAATCCGCTGTGGCCACAAATGACAGAATTTAAACCCCAAATACGAGCTTTTCTGTTAAAAGAACATATTTTCTACCCGGTCTTTTCAATAGTATCTGGCAACCATGCGCACGCTCTCTCTCTACACTGCTGAAGCGCGGATTATCTGAAAACACAGACAAGCTGGTTGGCAACAGTTGGCATTCAGCGATCTTTATTTAAAATGTTGTACTTTAATTAAAGTGTCATCCAGTCGGTCTGTGTTCTGTCACGAGCCGCTTGCGCTGTTTGTGCGACTAAATCTGCGATCAAAATGCAGGCTGATATATCCATCAGTGTTCATACGAGCAAGAATGCAATGTTTCCCGAATATCCACACGATTTCAAATGTGACATTGATTTTATACAACAGTAAAAAAGAAAAGAAAAAAAGGGTAACATTAAGTGATGTACTACATTTAAAACAGCATTGTCAGGCTTATTGCTCTGTTTTGCAACGAAATATGTGGCTTTGAACGAATCGTGAGATCCAATTAATGAATGACTCAAAGAATCACTCATAAAGATAGGGAGTTACCTACAGTTAGGTGGCCTACTGGCGATTTTAATGTTTTTTAACATTGCAAATTTAATGAACATTGTTTTATTTAAAGCATTATTTCTGTCTTTTTTTTTAAGGTATTACAAAGGTAAAAAAAAAAGGGATAATTATGTAGAACTGCACAAGTGCTACTGCTAAAGTCGATCAATGTCAATAATTTCTCATAAGCCTAATTGAATTGGCCTAGAGAGAATAATTATGATGACATTTTCTGTCTAAAGAATACATATAAAATAACTACCAAAAGTAAAGTAACTGCAGTTTGACTAAAAGTGGACAAAAAATGCAAAGAATTTTCGTCAACTACAACTATAAAAAACTGGATGACTCAAATGTGATTAAGACCAATAAACATTTTCGTCTTAAGACTAAATAAAAAATGGCTGCCAGAATTACACTGGCCTACATACACGTGCGCGCTACAATGCTGTTGCCTATGTATTAAATGAATTAAATAAAACATTTTACTTAAATTATCAGTCAAGTAGCTTCCTTGTACATAATTATTTTCTAGGGTTTAAAATGTATACAGATTTGACATTTTCCCCTCATACTTCTGTCGGAATGGGGACGAAGTTGGCATTGAATTTCATTTGAAATGGTATTAAAAAGGTCTTAAAAAGCCTTGAATTTAAGGAGGATCCTGGGGGTACCCTGTTTAAGAGCTACTGGTTAAGGGCAGAACCCCATCCATGTTCAAAGTTTATGTGGCGGCCATAGCAGCGTTTAAAAAACCCGCGACTGGCCAGTCACTGGGGAAGAACGATCTGGTCATCCGCTTCCTTAAAGGAGCTAAGAGGCTGAATCCTCCCAGACCCCCCCTTCAGTCCCCATGTGGGACCTTTCCACGGTTTTGGAAGCCATGAAAGGTGCCCGTTCGAGCCAATCCACTTGTCGGACATGAAACATCCGTCATTCAAGACAGTGTTTCTTATGGCTCTTGCTTCAGTGAAGCGCATAGGTGATTTACAAGCGCGCTCAGTAAGTGCGACGTGTATGGAATTTGGGCCAATTGACTCAAAAGTCATACTTAAACCAAGACACGGATACGTGCCTAAATCCCTCAACACACCGTTCAGGGCTCAGGTTATTTCCCTGTCTGCCCTGCCGGTTTACAACGAGAAAAAGGATGCGAGCTTCCTTTGCCCAGTCAGCGCATTAAGAGCCTTCCTCGTCTGTTTTCAGACAGACTGAGCAGCTCTTCGTTTCATTCAGCGGACATGCTAAGGGACTATCCGCATCGAAACAGAGCCTATCCAGATGGGTAGTTGATGCCATAGCGCTGGCATACACGTCTAAAGGCTTACAGTGTCCTTTGGGTGTCAAGAGCGCACTCCACAAGAGGCATTCGTCGTGGGCTTGGTCTAGCGGGATTATTTTGCAAGATCTGGATCTGTATGGCAGCAGGCTGGGCCTCCCCGTCTACATTTATAAGGTTTTATAACCTAGAGGTTCCCGCCTTACAGGCTAAACTACTTTCGGTCTAAAATCAGTATTGTCTGCCCTGTTGCTTCGGCTCAGAATACTACAACCGCTTGACCACCGCTCGCTGATCGATAAAATTACTCCATGGGCAAAAGTAAAACCCATACTGTTACACAGTTCAGGCAGAACATTTTCACCCTGACTGTGTGGAACACTGTTGATGTGATTAGCTCCCTTAGGACGCTAACTTATTGGGAATGACGCTTCTAGCCTCTCTTCTCATACTCTTTGTGAGTCCCTGGTGATTATGCACTATATGAGCCCCGGGCACCTGCCCTTGGGACTTTGGTGTTGGATCCCAGCACGCACAGCGTTTTACACTGTGTTCCCCTAGCGTAAGAGATTACGCAGTACGAGAGAATCTCTCGTAAGAGAACGTACTCGGTTACTAACGTAACCTCAGTTCTCTCTAGAAGAGGGAACGAGTACTGCGTATCTTTGCTGTGCCTGCAACACGCTCTGGTTCGCTTCGGCGATGAAAAACCAGATTATATCAGCCCATCGAGCTATATTTATAGGCCCAGGCCACGCCCGCTTTGGCGGGAGGTGACGTAGTGGGTGCGAAGCAGTTGCTGCAGGACAGCCAATAGGCACGCGAGCCGCCTTGCCTATGTCTGCATGCTGCCGCAACGCGTTTTACATTAATTCAAAATTAAGGATAATTTTCGGCTTCAATATCTTGTGGAAAAGAAGTTTTTCCCGAGCGTAAGATATTACGCAGCACTCGTTCCCTTTTCTAGAGAGAACCGAGGTTACGTTAGTAACCGAGTACGTTCTCCACTAATGTAGCATCTAGTCAACAAATTACTTAATTTATAATGATATGAAAACATGTACTATAGTGTACTGTATACATACTGTTTCACTGTCCCTTTTAAATCCAAATTTTTATCCAGACATCAGTGGCTTATTGATCATTATAGATGTTATCAATCATTTAGTTGTTGTTGCTAGTTTGAGCTGAGAAATAGGCTACACATTTCAGAATTATCACTAATCTGTGTGTGCATTTTGCTTTAGAACCAAGTAAGTTGACGCATGAAACCATTTTTTTATTATATCGCAATATTGACCTCAATAATCGCAATATGACATTTTATCCAAATCGTGCAGCCCTAGTTTTTGGTTTCCTTCACTACAGATTACTATTTGAGTAAACAAAACATATTCAGTTGTAATAAGAATGGGTAATATAATGGGACATAGCCAACGTACTGTTATTAACAATATTTTACTTATCTGTTTATTCCTCTGTAGGTCTGGACAGGACCATCAAAAATGTGAACCGGTGATTGATAATCTACCAGATTAATTTTTGCACCAGCAGCAATGGAGCGGAGCAAACGGAACTCCATTGCTGGGTTTCCCACACGGCCAGATCGGCTGGATGACCTGGATTGTGGAGGAGGAGCAGAAACCGGTCTGGCACCGCTGGACAGGGTGTGTCCCTCTTCTTACCGGGCCCTCATCAGTGCCTTTTCTTGCCTGACCCGACTCGATGACTTCATCTGCGAGTGGATTGGCTCTGGGTTTTTTTCAGAGGTCTACAAGGTGAGATGGTTGTCTGATGACAATAAGTAATTTCGATTTCAGTTCTTAGTCACTTGCCCTTACCAAAGTCCACCTGCAGAGTTGAGTTCTGAATCAGAATCAGAATGAGCTTTATTCGCCAAGTGTGCGCAAACACTCGAGGAATTTTTTTTCCTGAAGCTCTTGGTACATGCATGCATACATATGACACAAATTGGAAGAAAATTTAAGAAAGAAAATAAGAATAAAATGGTATATCTAAACAGAAGACTTATGTATAGATTTCTGCATTATGTACTGTATACTGCTGTATATATGTATTTACATAATATCAAATTATTTCCACAATCTCTCAAGTACTGAGGTATGAATTATAGAAAAAGGTAGTAATTGCTGTGTTAATTGTTTAAGCTGGAGATAGCATTAAAAAAAAAAAAAAAAAAGTTTTTATGCCTGGATGTTCTAGTGCACAGAGATCTGCCTGAGGGTAGAAGTACAGGTTGTGGCCTGGGTATGAGGGGTGTCTGATGTTACCTGCCCGTTTCTTCACTCTGAAGATGTACAAGTCCTGAAGGTTGGGCAGCTGCACAATGCACACCAATTAACTTTTTGGCTGTCCTAACTAGGGCAGCACGTTTTCAAGTTTTTCATTAACCGTTAACCGAGGCCCTTAGCGGTTAATACTCGGTTAACCATAGTGTGCGCGCTGCAACCCCGAGATACAGACACACGAGAAATGGGGTAGTTCATTTTTAACACCTTTAATAACTGGTTGGACCACATTTGAAACGAAATTAATTTATAGAAATAAAATGCAGTGGTAAGGATAGAGCAGTTATGGTGTGTTCACATCGAACACAAATTTAATTATTTGCGTGAGTGATTACATACAAAGTCAATGCAAAGACGCAAATAGACGCATCATTCGCGCCGGGCGTTGCGAATGACGCGAATTGGGCGACGCGTTTGCCGCGAATGTCTTCCGCGCAAGTTGAATAATTTGAACTCGAGCGAATGTTCAAGCGTCCAACTAGACGCGATAGACTTGATTTGACGCTCCATTCGCGTTCGGAGTGAACACACCATAATGATGCCCGGGTGTTGGCTGTTGAGATGGTACAACAACGAGGTTGTACTTGAAGTATATCTAAGCACTGCATTGCAATACCTGCATTTTGCCCCGTCATTCTCGATTTTAAAGTGCTCCCACGCTGTGCTTTTCTTTGCCCGCTTCATATTAGAAAACTGGTCATGACTACTTCTTGTGGACATTACAAATGTCTGGGAGCGCTCTGGCGGTCTCTGGTGGTGCAAAAATGTATTACAACTAAATTCAATGGACGCCATTGACGCCACCATAGACAGTATAAGAAATGGACAGAGCCATCTCATTGGAACTCAGTTGAGACAGTTGAAGCCCATTTTTAGCGATTTTTGAGCACTTCCGTTCCTGACGCGCAGACTCAAACCGACTCAAACTAAGCTTGATGACGTGAGCAACCTGTCTGACAGACGTTAATCTTCTAGTAGCTGTGCGTGAAAATTGCCAACCTTAATCTTGCAGAGACGGGGAACTTGAGCAAAGAGTTCTTTGGCGTGAGTGAGCAGGAGTAAGTGTTCCGTTGCTTTTATGGACTCATTATCTATGGGCTTCTCTCTTGACGGGACGTCCTCCCGATTGCCTGCGAGCTTCTCCTCCTGTCTGTACGGTAATTTCTGTACAGCGCGACAGAGAGTCGAGTGGTTATGACGCAATCGTTAGCCTATTTTTACTAAAACTGTTTCTACGGGGCCATAATGTAACATAGAAGGTAATGGAGCCCTTTATAAATTGTTGTGTTTCTTTAGAAATAAATAATGGACAAATGGAGTCTTTAAACGCCTCAGATGTAAAGTTATTCGCTGTCAAAGTGACGCCAAAATGAATGGGAGTCAATGGAAATGCTAACGCAAGTGAAGTTCTGCTACAACATGGCGGCACCCGGCCGGCTTCAACTTCCGGTCGATGGATTACCCCCTTGGACGCCACTTAACCGAGCAAAATGTTTCACTCGGTTACGCAATTTTTAACAGTTAATCGGTTAATCAGTTAACCATGGACACCCCTAGTCCTAACAGTCCGTTACAGTCTTCTTATGTCTGATTTGCCTGGTGCTGACCCAAACCAGATAGTTATAGAAGTGCACAATACTGACTCAATAACAGCGGAGTAAGATTGGTCATCTGCGCCTGTGGCAGGTTCAACTTGTTCTGTTGACGAAGAAAGTTTATTTCTACATTTACATTTGCATTTATTCATTTAGCTAGCAGACGCTTTTATCCAAAGCGACTTACAAATGAGAACAATAGAAGCAGTTAAACTAACAGTAGGACAATATGCAAGTGCTATGACCCTTCCCAGTTTAATCTAACGCAGTACATGTAAAAAAAAAAAAAAAAATTATTATTATATATTTTTTTAAATAAAAAACTTTAATAGAAGAGAAAGTGGTTCAGTATTACTGGATCACGTGCTGCCGAAAAAGATGCCTCCTCAGCTGTTTCTTGAAAGTGGCTGTGGACTCAGCAGTTCTGGTTGAGTTAGGCAGGTCATTCCACCAGCAGGGAACAGTCATGGTAAAGGTCCGAGAAAGAGATTTTGTGCCTCTTTGAGATGGTACAACAAGATGACATCCGCTTGCAGAGCGCAAGTTTCTGGATGCCACGTAAGTCTGAAGTAATGAGTTTAGGTAAAAGGGAGCAGAGCCAGTGGTTGTTCTGTAGGCAAACGTCAGTAACTTGAATTTAATGCGAGTGGCAACTGGCAACCAGTGCAATTTTGTGAGGAGAGAAGTGACGTGTGCTCTCTTCGGCTCATTAAAGACCACTCTGGCTGCAGCATTCTGGATCAGTTGCAGAGGTTTGACAGAGCAAGCTGGAAGACCAGCCAGGAGAGCATTACAATAGTTCAGTCTAGATAGAACAAGCGCTTGGACAAGGAATTGTGTAGCATGCTCTGTTAAGCCCAATTTATACTTCTGCGTCGAACTCACGCCGTAGCTACGTCGTAGGCTGTGTGTAGCGCGCGTACCCTTCGGCGTAGGTCCGACGCAGAAGTATAAATCAGCCTTTAGGAAGGGCCTGATCCTCCTAATGTTGTGCAAGGCAAATCTACAAATCTACATATCAATATAGATTCCTTTTTCTAACTAGCTTTCAGTGTGGTAAAACTGGCTGCTTCAAGTCTATTTAAATACTGTTGGGCCTCATCTTAACCCCTCCTGATTGCTCACTGGTTACATATTGGCAAGTATCGTGACAGTGAACATTGTAATGTCAGATAATTTCCTTTTTTTTTTTTTTTGGTGTTTACAAAAAACATCTGGGTGTTGATTAGAGTTTGTAATGTATAATTGTTTAGTTGTTAAGACCTACATTAAATTAGCCGCGTTTCCACTGCCGGGCCGTGCTAGTGCATGCCAGGGCCAGTCGCGTTTCCACTGTCACTTCCGGTGCTTGATCGGGGCTTACTCGGGGCCAACGGCCAGGATTTCTGGCCCGTCGAATACCTTGGGCCAAAGCGGGCCAGCTCGGGCTAGAGGAGTGGTTACGAACAGAGGCGGGGATTACCTGAGTCGAGAGACAGCGCCGATGGATTCTGTCAGCATTGAAGACTTTTAAAATAATTTAACTCACTTTCATGTTTTAATGCCTTCTGTTTGTGATCCGATGTGGATTCTGATCACCGTATAAGGTAGAAATATTTATACGCGATGCAAAAGACTATGCGCGCTAACCATTACCATAGTAAACGCTTGAATACGCATAGTAAAAAAACATGGTGAACGCTTGAAGAAGTCAGACCAATCATAAAGGCTATCACAATCATGTTTTTATTTTATCTGTCAGTAGCCTACATATACTACATAGTAGTCTCTTTATACCGGACTATCTACTTTTTTTTCGGGAGCTTCCTGTTTCTCTGACTGAAAATATATCTGTAGCTACTGGGAGTCGAGACTGTGCTAACGCTCCCCAGGTCGTATTTTTGGTGGCATATAACATTATTTGTAGAAATTATCATTCTTTCTAAATGTGATATATGTCCTGTAACTACCAAATAAACAGAAACAGCCTCGACTGAATAATGTAAGTGTGTCCTCTTTCTTTTGTGAAATAGACCTAACGGTAATTTATTTCTGTGTGACTAATGTGCAATTTTGACATAAATTAATTCATTATGATCAATGTATCACTTTTTATTGTAAACCTGTGGTAAAACATCGATGCTTGGGTTTTAAATTTTCAAGTAAACAACAAAAATGCCAGCGAACGGCCGCTTTTATCATGTTTGTTTTGCGATGCACGCTGTTTCCAGTGATTTCTTTCTGATTAGTTTTCTGATAAAACTTCCATTTGTTGGTGAAATGATGGGTTAGTGTGATGTTGTTCCAGAGAGGCGTGTTGCGGGCGTGTTTTAGTGACGCGCTGTGGAGCTTCTGGCCCGACAGTGGAAACGCAGGCCCGGTGCTACTGGCCCGAGGCTATTAGCCCGGCACGACCCGTTTAAAGCCCTGGCCTAGCACTGGCCCGACAGTGGAAACGCAGGCCCGGTGCTACTGGCCCGAGGCTATTAGCCCGGCACGACCCGTTTAAAGCCCTGGCCTAGCACTGGCCCGACAGTGGAAACGCAGGCCCGGTGCTACTGGCCCGAGGCTATTAGCCCGGCACGACCCGTTTAAAGCCCTGGCCTAGCACTGGCCCGACAGTGGAAACGCGGCTAATACTACCCTTGATGCTGAGCATCAGTGGTATGGTAGGCTCTGAGGGTTTATATTCACTGTGAATAATTCAATGAAGTTTTGAGGTCAGAAAAGCCCTGAGAGAAGAGTGCATCATCATGATGCCCATTACTAAGATCAATTCTTCTGTCATAGCAGTGAAAGCAGGGTTTTTCCTGGGTCTTCGGTGGTGGCGGATGAACACGGTCATCCACACACAATACAAAGTACCCAACACGTGAACTGTGAGCAATAAATCCCGAAATAAAAAAGCAAAGAAACCGTTTGTAATATTGCCTTATCCTATTTATTTATGAAATAGAAAATAATCAGTGTCAGGACAGATTGCACGTGAACTAATCATCTCTTCCGCTTAACTAGTTACAACACGAAATAAACATGAATAAACATCAGAAGGTATGAAGAAAAAGACACAGTACAATTTCCCGAAATCTGTATCATGTCACATGTAATCGCTCAATCAGTGTTTCAACCGTGGAAAGGGCATTTTGTTAAATCTATTCACTATTTTTTCCTTGTGTAATTTAAATTAGTAGCCTACAGATCGATTAACTTTAACCTTTAATATTATTATGATGCTCCTACTGGTTTTCCCTGTATAGTTTACAGCATTAGTTGAGATTATTTTTTTTATTTTTTTTGTGAGGAAATTAACCATGTACTTTACGAAATTTCAATGCCCAGTGTCAATAAATGTTGTTTTTTTTGTTTGTTTTTTACTTTACGCAAATGTTGTCTTTTCCCTTTATTTTCTTGTCAGAGTGAACCTGAATGCTTAATTTGCACGTTAAAATCACAAATTCGCCCCCAGAAAACAACAATATCATTTGTAAACACGTCACCTTTTTCTCCTCCTCTGAGTTTGCAGGTCTGGACATTACTGGTCAGTGTTTTGTTGTATAAATCTATTAAGAATATTCCCTCCCTTCCCCACACAGGTGGCTGAGATTTAAAGCACAGTAAATGTCTTTAGGATGGCAGGCAGGGGGTGTCTGCTTGTGGCACAGACAGGGGTAATGCGCTGAGCCAACTACCAGCTGTGATAGGGGTCTCCAAGAACCTGTCTGGAAAGCTAATACAATAATAGCTCATTTCAGTTTATTTGAACATGAGTTTCAATGTGTATCCATATGATGAACTCAAACAAACATCCTAAAACCTCACAGCGCTATGGAGAATCCCTAAATAATCATATTGATCAATTTGCTAATCCATCTACGTTTGAGGAACCGAAAAATGTTCCTAGGACACTGGATGTGTTGCATTATAGGCAGCAAGCTGTGACTTGATATTAGCAGAACAGATTGAGTGTTTGGGTGCAGTAGAGAAGGCATCTGGGTCCATGTCTGACAGGCGGCTCTCACTGTTGGTGGCCACACGAAACGGGCTATTCCTAGGCTGCTGATCCCAGAAGTGCAATTGGTTACACACTGCAGTACAGTCAGCACCATGCATTTAAAGTAAAAGGACATGCTCATAAAATGTTGCTATGTGTACAACATTCACAGAAGTTAACACAGAATTCAATGTTTTGGTTCCCTAGCACTGAATTTTGAGTAATCCTTCAGCTGTGTTTTGTCTTTCCATCACTGCATGCAGTTTGAGGAAGTCAGCGTTTTACAGATATATATATATTTTTATATATAAAAAAAATGCACTAATGAGGATATCCTGTGGTTGATATTTGCCTTTTTATTGGTCAGTGAGATGAAAGCACAAAAAGGAAACTAGGAAAACGGATATGCAGAAGCACATTTTAGAAATATTATGAAACCCCCAACCATACATGGCCAATAGTCAATTATGCAGTTAGTGTTTGTCTATTCCATTCTTCACCTCGTGCTAGAATATTGGTTCTGTAATAAAGATTTTTAACAATGATTGTCTATTCCATTCTTCACCTCGTGCTAGAATATTGGTTCTGTAATAAAGATTTTTAACAATGATTTTCTATGGTAATGTATGTCACTTCCCATCTGAGTGGTATTGTTGGTCTAATGTTGTGGTTATTATTTTCTCCAATGCCCATAATCATAGTAGCCAGTGAGAAGCAATGGGCCAAGATGCACTGAACAAAATTCTTTTCATCTTGAAGGAATATAAAGAATGTACATTCAGAGCATATAAGAACTTGCTTCCTCGTTTCATTTTGTCGGTATGGCTTAGTTCAAATTCAGAGTAAGACTAAAAGAACATTTCTCATTTTGTTTGTTTTAGGTGCGTCACAAAGCTTCGGACCAGGTAATGGCCCTAAAGATGAACAAGCTAAGCAGTAATCGTGCCAACATGCTGCGAGAAGTTCAGCTCATGAACAGACTCTCCCACCCCAACATACTCAGGTGCTTTCACACAACATACTTTGCTTTCATTTTAACACCATTGTCACAGTGGGTTTTTCGGCAGGCAGGAAATGTATTGTGGAGGGAGTGAATGAACAGCGCTCTCTTCCACTCTCATTGCCCAGAACTGAGGTGCCTTTGAGCAAAGCACCTAACCCCCAATCGCTCCATGGGTGCCGCAGCAAAAATGGCTGCCCACTCCGGGTGTGTGTTCACGGTGTGTGTGTGTTCAATACACACTGCTGTGTGTGTGGACTTGGATGGGTGAAATGCAAGGCACAGATTTGTGAAAATGGGCCACCATACTTGGTGTTAATCGATTCTCATTTTTACGAACCAACATCTACGATTTATACGAACCGATTAGTCTACCCTGTTTTCAGTTGATGAATAAATGGAACATTGTAGCGCGCCTCAAATCCAATAAATCACAATAAGCTTTGTGCTTTGTTAATTTTGATATGAAACAAAGTTTCAGATTTCCAATTCTGTCGAAATTCTACGAAAAAAAAAACATTTTGGCACTGTTTAATGTAACGTGACAAATCGCTGTAGCGCCTCAGTTCAAGAGAAGCGGCAGCGTGGAGCGCACGTGAACTAATCATCTCCTCTGCTTTAATACCAGTTACAACGCGAAATAAACATGAATGAACATTGTTAAAACATACAGTACAACTTGCCAAAATCCGTATCATGTCTCATGTAATCACTCGTGTTTCAACCGCAGAAAGACGTCAAATGAAACAGTTTGTAAACAATGTCACATATTGTCAAATATGCATTTTTATAAACTATAATCACTGGGTTCTAGTAACGGCCGCACGCGAGTCTAATTCGCCCGGAAGAGTGACCTCTGACCTGACGTATGATGCAGGATGTAGGAGTAGCGTTAGCTTTTGTGAGTAACGCCTCTCGCGGTTCAAACAAATAGGGCTGGGCAACAAAGTCAAGCTCCTCTTCTCTTATATCGAAATCCTACAACATTTCTCTTAAATTCTCTAATTCGTGACCGGTGTTTTGTTTTGCTATATTCTCTGCGCTTCTGCGTTCTTCAATATGTCATGCGTCGGGTCAGAGGTCACTCTTCCGCCAGAACTAGACTGATGTACCGCCGTTACTGGAAGCCAGTGATTATAGTTTCTAAAGTTATAAATATAGATATTTTTTTTACAAAATGCATCGCTTTGCTTCAGAAGGCCTTTAACCCTCTGGGGACCAGAGTGTTTTTGGGGCCCTTGGGATGTTTTGACATGCACTGACATTTGTGCTTTTTTCAGTTATTTATAAACATGTTAATGGCAAAGGTGTAAATTCACTCTATATAGCACTAACTTGGCTACCATGAGATCTGAGCAACATGTATGTACATGTTTGTATTTTTAATAGAATAATGTTTATGCGTGGTTATTGAAAAAAATAAAAATGAAAGTTGCTGAAATAAGACCACAAAACACATATTGATTATTGCTTCACAAGACTTTTGAAAATTGTATCACATAGCCTAGAATATTTGCTCCAAAACTATGTGAGAATCATCCTGACTACTCATTCAGATAAGTCAATAAAGTCTTTTACATTTTTAATGACGTGTTTTGTTTGAGAAAGCTTTATGCAGGAGGCGTGATCTCTCATTAATATGTGTGGCATTTCACACCTGAGAAAGACAAAGACCCTCCCCATAATGGCCCTATTAGGTGCTATCAGGCCATATCATTACAGGAGCCTTGCACAAAGAATGAGGAGATTTAAAAAAGAATGGCTTTTAGATTGTTTGGATTTATATAAGGAAAATACAGGGTGCATACGTCTGGACACTTCTATCACACACCCTTCACCATATAGACATGGTTTTATTTCAGTTCAAAGTTCAAAGTTAGAGTTGGAAACATCTTGAAAAGAAAATTGTCTTTCTCCATAAATGTCTTAGTTTGATCATACATATTTCAAAGTTGAGGATTCATTATTTTGATATAGCTTGAACAAACACTATAACATCTTAGTTGATTAGTTTATTGACAAAACATACTATATATTTAACATATGAGCAGAAACTCCTAAAAAAAGCTTATTTGATGTCTATTTTAGAGTAAAAACTTTATCCAAAACGAGTCAACGAAATGTTATTTAGTCTGTAACAGTGCGTATCTGTGCGTTCATTCATTCATTCATTCACACACACAAACATGATTCACATTTAACAGTACGCTATTTTTCCGTTTACAGACACTACGTTATTCTATATCGCGATTAGAACAAAGCACTTGCAAAAAACACTTACTTCTCAGCTGAATCTGTTCATCCTCGAAGTGAAAATAAACCCAGTGGTAAATGTCCCAGGATTGTTCCTCATATAGCCGCGCAAGACGACAGTAGATTAATCTGACTAAAAAATAATGTGTGTTTTCAGAGTTTATGGGCGTTAACGCGTCTCAATGTGTTGCTTCACATATTTGCGTTTGAATAGCGCGTGCTCTCCGTGGGCGTGTCACATTACCAGAGATAATCAGCTGAGAGAACGATAATGAGACGGGCTGACACGTCTCTCTTTTTATATAGACTACTAGTATAATAGTCTGATCCCTTATAATGATAACTACGGTAAAGGCAGCACAAAAGACAGGCTTTGAGGTGTTTTTCAGTCAGCGAGCCTTCGGCAATACCCGCCTTTCAATCAAATAACACCAAAGCCTGTCATTTTTCCATTAAGAAAAAAAAGATGTTCTTAGGAAATATTTGAGAACTACTTTAGAATTTTTCAAGATTTGCGCTCAGGAACATTCTTACGAACTTCTTAGAATTTATCTTAAGGATTTTCTTGACTTTTCTGGTTTTCCTCTTTTCTTCCCCTGGTGTCCTTTTCTCTGTTGCCATGTGTCTCTGTGTGATTACTTTATTAAGTTGGTGTCTTGGCGATTGCAGTTGCGGTTTACGCTTACAAGAAACTAAGGAGCTGATGCCAATAAAAGTAAATTTAACAAGCTTGTAACTAAACAGGAAAATGGAAGTAAAGCATATAAAGCATATTCATATAAAGCAGTAGCTGATGTAGCTTAATATACACTCCCCTAAAGGATTATTAGGAACACCATACTAATACTGTGATTGACCCCCTTTCGCCTTCAGAACTGCCTTAATTCTACGTGGCATTGATTCAACAAGGTGCTGAAAGCATTCTTTAGAAATGTTGTCCCATATTGATAGGATAGCATCTTGCAGTTGATGGAGATTTGTGGGATGCACATCCAGGGCACGAAGCTCCCGTTCCACCACATCCCAAAGATGCTCTATTGGGTTGAGATCTGGTGACTGTGGGGGCCATTTTAGTACAGTGAACTCATTGTCATGTTCAAGAAACCAATTTGAAATGATTCGAGCTTTGTGACATGGTGCATTATCCTGCTGGAAGTAGCCATCAGAGGATGGGTACATGGTGGCCATAAAGGGATGGACATGGTCAGAAACAATCCTCAGGTAGGCCGTGGCATTTAAACGATGCCCAATTGGCACTAAGGGGCCTAAAGTGTGCCAAGAAAACATCCCCCAACCATTACACCACCACCACCAGCCTGCACAGTGGTAACAAGGCATGATGGATCCATGTTCTGATTCTGTTTGCGCCAAATTCTGACTCTACCATCTGAATGTCTCAACAGAAATCGAGACTTATCAGACCAGGCAACATTTTTCCAGTCTTCAACTGTCCAATTTTGGTGAGCTCTTGCAAATTGTAGCCTCTTTTTCCTATTTGTAGTAGAGATGAGTGGTACCCGGTGGGGTCTTCTGCTTAAATCACCTTTTTATCCCATTCTGACATTCAGTTTGGAGTTCAGGAGATTGTCTTGACCAGGACCACACCCCTAAATGCATTGAAGCAACTGCCATGTGATTGGTTGATTAGATAATTGCATTAATGAATTGCATAAATTGAACCGGTGTTCCTAATGATCCTTTAGGTGAGTGTATATCAGGTTTCCTACTCTTTGAACAAGGTGTGTGCCTCGCTTTATGCACTGCCAGTGGCTCAAAATGAATGCCGTCCTTTAAATGGGGAGACTGTGGGAGTGTTGCTTTCAATATGAATCTTTCTCTCCTTTGTAATGGAAACGCAGAGATGACCTCTTCCTCCCCGTTCCACAGAAATCCATTAAAAATAGATGGAGTGTAACGACATCCTGAGTTTAGATTTCATTGAGATCAAAAAGCCTCCTCTTGGTTCTCCACATCAGCTCAGAGAAGAACTAGTGAGTTTTGTCTGCTGAGATAGACTTCACCTGAGGATGAATGGGGAATTGGACCTGAGAATATAGGACAAGTAGTTCAGATGTAGTGTTTATTTTTTTTATTTTTTTTACTTATGTATGTTTTTTAATATTTGTATATTTGTTTCATTTACTCATGTTTAATTATTTGTTTGTTACATGTATTTTTTATTTTATTTATTATGTTATGTTTATATGACAAAATGCCACCTAGAGAAATTTTTGTGATGCTTGTCTAGTTTGTAAAGCAGAATGTGAGTTTGTAGGTGGATGAGAGAGAGAGGGGGTCTGTGTGTGGTTTACAATCACACCATTGTTACATCTTATTGAATGGGGGTGGAGGGACTCTAGCGCAGACAGGAGAAGGCTGAGGAGATCTTTGTTGAAGAAATCCCAACATAGACCCGCAATAAAAGCCAGGCCTGTGCTTTATGGGGCCATAACTTTGAAAACAGACAAATTTGTATCCTGTGTAATGACTCGTGTGAGGTGGCCATTCAGGGACATTGATACGTTGTGTCATGGCTGAGAACACATTAGTGAAAAGCTACTGCATGTCTATATTATGTAGGTCCCACACTAGACATTTATATGGTCTGTATTTTTCAAATCTGATCTCTCTGACTGTTCGCACTGTCATTTGTGCAAATTGATAACTTTCGGAACATTTTACTTCTGCTAATAGCCTTTTGTGACGCCTCACGTCAGACAACACAAGTGACCGAGATATAGTCAAGATATACTTAGAGATAGTCTTTACGCATTCAGACACTATACCGTTCAAAAGTTTGGGGTCTGTAAGATTGTCTTTCATGTTTTTGAAAGAAGTCTCTTATACTCACCATGGCTGTATTTGATTGATTAAAAATACAGTTAAACATAAATGTTGGGAATAACAATTTAAAATAACTGTTTTCTATTTTAATTTAAATAGAAATATTTTGTAGCATTATAAATGTCTTTCTTTACTGTCACTTTTGATCAATTCGAAGCATCCTTGCTGAATAAAAGTATTTATTACTTTCGATGAAAAAAAAACTTCCTGACCACAAACTTTCGAGCGGTAGAGAAAGTGGCAGAGATATTACTGTATTGACACATTTATACATGTTGTCTAACACCGCTCACTTGTTCACTCATTCACTTTGAATTTGTATGTGTCATTCACTATGTAACGCAGTCATAAAAATAGACACTACTGCACTTTGTGTGTGGTGCTGCATTCCAAATAAAAGAAAAAAAAATCTTGAAATTAGTGCACATTAATTTATCAGTGCTAAATATTGTCGAGACCTGTATTTGTAATGTGTTGCTTTTCTTTCAAATAACAACACTTATTTGCACCCTTTGCCACATATTCCATGTCTGAAAGAAAAATCAGCTATTTGTTTTTACAGCAGAAATCTTGCTTTTACTGTGCCATTGTATCTGTTCACATCACAGATTCACCCTCCAGTCTACTTGAGACCGTCTCACATTTTATAGCTAGTGTTGATGTACAGTGCCATAAACCTGTCTGAGTGGTGTCATTTGTAAAAGCCATTTTTGACACAAGAAATGAACGTAGAGCATAAATAAGTCTATTTGACAGTAGCCTCAGAGAAAGTCAGCATTGGTGTAGATGACAACAGCTTAGTCTAATGATATTGCTGAGTTTGCGCTTATTCCATTGTGCATTGATTTTTTTACTTTATGCAGGGGTTTTTTGGGATCCTTGAAAGATCTCCTCAAACTTGTAACTTCTACTGTTTTAGAGCATCTAACATCAACCTCTCTTTTTGTTTTTGTGATGTAGATTCATGGGGGTGTGTGTTCAGGAAGGTCAGCTTCATGCTCTCACAGAGGTAAGCGAAATCAGCTCAGACTCGGAGCTTTCATTCACCACACATCTCTTCATTTGACCCTTCATCATGGGCAATAGGGGTGGATGAGTCATCTTATTTCACGATAACTCTCTCTATATATATATATATATGTAATCACAATATAGTTTATATAGCTTTGCTTTAAGTACTTTTTTTATAATTTCAAAATTTGATACAATTGAAATAATTATTGTCATCAATTTCAATATCACAAACTAATACTAGCCTAAGTAAAAAAAACTTGGCTTACTGACAAGTAAACAGTCAGTGAGAAAATAAGAACAAGGCAACTAATTACAAGCAATAGGAAAACAAACAGACAAATGAAATGGGCCTACCTGAAAAAACTTCAAGCACAAGAAATACTACATGCATTTTATGAAGTAATCAAATGTATAAAAAACACTGCGTAATCTTCACTGTGTAAATTAAATATACTTTTTTTTTTAAGTTACAAAAGTGATTCAGTCAAGAGAAGTTTGACTAACATTGAGACAGCAGCAGGTTTATTAGGCTGCCGTCACTTTACGAGTGAATGCACGGATCCAATATATTGTTACACGTGTTTTCTTTCTCAACTGTTTACTTTCACTTAAGACATAAATGACTGTGTTTATGAGGATACTTGTAAAGATGGGCATTTTGACGCACAAGTATGTGTATTGTGTACAAGCCCAATTCGGTGGCAAAAACAACTCAGTTCAGTATTCACGACGTCTGCACTGTGGCTTCATGTGCACACGTCTCTCAGACAGCGCTCAGAAACAGTCTCTAAGACAGTTCTCTTTCGCCGCTTAAACGGTGTTAATGCGGTGCATTGCTTAAAAACACATTCAAATGATAAGCTTTTGTGACCATGCAGCACAGCAATGTCATGTGAGCTTAACCGTAATAGAGACGATAGTCACGATTCTGACTCACAGGCACAGCCTGTAAGTATATTTTCATATTTTAATGAAAATTATCTACTACTGACTGTTCGAACGCAAGTTTTTAGCAGTATAGAGTAGCGCTTGTATGTCGTTTCTACAATCACAAATGCAGATATCGTTTTATGTTTACATGTTCTCACCTATGGCGGCAAATCAATGACTAAAATAAACGAGCGCACAACTGATGCTGGCGCGCGCGGTAAATGACTTTCGCGAGAGCATAACAGATCTACACGAGAGGAAACGGGGATCTCGCAAGCTTATTCAAACCGTGCGCATGACATCTCCTCTGCACGCAATACAAGCCCTCGCGCGCGCGCATGGTCATTTCTCGCGGTCGATCTGCTCTCGCCTGCTGCTTTTGCTCGCTCGAACAATTTTATTTTTGGCAGTCGAGGTTGACTTACTGTTTTAATAACCTCAAATGTCATTTGCTACTTCCCCTTTTCCAGAAGTCAGTTGTGATTGGACGCGTGTCCAATGACCCGTAATTCACTTGACTTGAGACATGAGACATCACTTAATTTGTTTTATTTGTTGTGGTTTATTAATGTGTAATGTGATTTAATGCATTGTTAATATAGAACAGATTCTTACCAGATACTTTATTAACAGGAAGTCTTACTAGTGATTGCATTGTGTTGTTAAGAGATATTTACAGACTGTAATGACGCATTTGGTTATTAGCATTGTAAATTTACCAAAATTTTTATACATTTTTACGTAAAGGGCTAGGTGGGATTAGGGGGCCCGTGATTGGCTGGAGAAAATGAGATCGTCAAGTCATAGGTGTTTGATTTGTGTATAATAAAATAACAAGAAGTTATTGGAAAATGTGCCTGACTGATATAATTACCGCCCAATCAAATTAACTCTACAATTTGCGCCATGACGTTGGGAAACGCCTCTTTTCGTTATGCTTTCATGTAGAACATGATGAAAAAAAGTGATAGTGGTGCACAAAAAAGGAAAAACAAACTCGAAAGGCAGAAAAGGGATGCAAAAATTCCTAAACTAACTAAACTGGAGCGCGAGAACTGAAACAAAATATAGCCTATGTAGGCTAAAGCTTGAAATGTCCACTTTAAAACGAACAAATTCGAATCGAAAGCTAATACCTTCTGATTATATAATCCGTATGAAAGGTGCATTTCTCTCTAAAGGTGCATTCGCGCCTTACAGCGGAGATGATGTTTTTAGCCGACACTGATTTAGAAAACAATAGTTTATTAATAAACCATTAAAATGCCTCGTTATTTTTTCAGACACATTTATTATCATTAGCCTATAACTCACCTAAATCACCTTTCTGTAGGCTGTGGTTCCAGAGACATAAATATGGCTCTTCTCATTCAGCACTGTGGGAAAAATATAATTTCCAGGTTCTAATTTGGCCTTAGAAAACCAGTCAAATCTACTTTTTTTTTTTTTCATATTAATTTGTTTATATTTTAAATGTTTAATAAAGGGGCAAAAAGTCATAAACAAAAATCTGAAATTTAGTCTATATTTATTTTTTTGTGCAGCATTTGTGTACAGTTCGAATTAAAAAAATGTGGTGTTCAACTTTTAAAAGCGTTTTAAAAAAACAACAACCGTTCATTTTTCGTTTTGCAATTACGGGTTAAATAAGGAAAAACGAATGGGCACAAATATACACTGACCGTTTGGATATAATACGAGACAGTGTTCTTTATTAAATTCATAAAAGAAACAATAATTACAGGAATACTGGATTCTAAAACTCAAAGAAATGCCACAATCAAGACCTCGGAGCAGAAATGAGGGAGAAACACCCAGAAACTCCTTAGGCTATAGCCTATGTGCCGTTCGCAGTATAAGGGTCTTTTCCTGCCATTTAATGCTTGGATAACACACCACATCTTCTTCCATTAATAATAATAATGTCTAGTGTGGTGGTGGCTGTGATATAGGCTATAAACCTACCCACCCGTTGCAATGATGTTTAAATGACTTATCGCGAGAGGGAAAAAAAGATTTAGATTAGAAATTTAGAAAAAATTGCAAAAGTTTTGCGCAAATCTGTAATGGAAGATTTACGTTTTGGTTTATCGTCATTTCGCCGATGAAAATTCCAAAATGAAACCACAGCAGAAACAATCTCTGAAACTGATAGTGGTGATTCGTTACTGAATAATCCGTATGTTTTACGGATGTTCCCAAAATGAACCAAGAAATTATGTGGAGTAATTTTGATCATGATATTCCATCAAAATCTGTGCAGTAGAGGGTTAATATGTTAAATAGCCTGGACTATTTAGTGTGCAAAAATAATAATAAATAATAAAGAAAAAAATGAAAATTTTCCTGTTGCAAGATGTTTATATTATGTTATATTATAACACGTTTATGCATAACAGGGATTCCGTTCATACACCGTTTATTTCATAGCACTATGATTGTTATGTTTATACAAAATACAATTTACTGTAATGCTTTTTTCCCCCTTAGTTGATCAGAACAAAAGTGGATGTTACTTGTTCAGACGTTATTTTCCGTTGAAAATTCTAATATTGGTCAGACTTCCAAAAAGTATAATGTGTGATTCTGAATGCCAGTATCCACACCGGCACGGTGATTGACAGCCGCACACTCTCCTCAAACATTGGATTCATCCGCGCTGTTTCATGCCGATGTACAACCCACGTAAAGTTGATAATTCCGCAAATAACTGCAATTGCAGTTTTCGAACAGAGATGGTGACAAAGAGGAAAAGCTACGGACTGCAGCTTTAATAACAATAAAAAAAATATTTATTGCGGTAGAAGACTGTGGTGTGGCAATCAGATGAAAGGGGGCCCTTGGTGTTGCTTTAGCCCCAGGGCCCAAAGTCCTCTTAATCCGGGCCTGATTGTACGGTATGTGTAAAATGACTTTTTTTTAACCTAAAACCACGTAAAGACATTGCAATAAACCAAATACACAAAATAATGTTCTTTTTAGAACCATCATATGACCCCTTTAATGTCAGACTGTACGAAAGTCAAGACAGGTTCAAAACGGACGCACGCAAGAACTTGTCCGGAGTTTTACATCAATCAATGACACTTTCGGTGACAGTGAGCTGCATTACGCGGGATTGAAATGGAGGCTACAAAGAAATCTCTAACATTAATTTTGGTCATGGCTTGTCTTAAAAAACGAAGACAATTTGACAGTCGTCGTAGAATTTGAGGTAAAATTTGATCGCACCGGTCATTATCGGCTTTCGGTGAACATGTTAAATTAACAATCAATGACTTCATATTTTAGCCAAGGATCAGAGGAATCTTTTAGGATTTGCAAAATTTGTCTCAGACGGAAAAATCGTGGCCAAAATCACAGTGTGCACCGGGCTTAAGAGTGTTTGCAGTGTACCTTGATTCCTAAATCTGTGGCATTTCCCCCTGTGAATCAAATGACTCACTGTGACATTTAACAGTTTACTCTTTGTTCGCAGTGGCCCGAGGGGAAGTATTCTATTAGAGAGCCTACTGGCAGTCCCTTAAGGCATGATGTATTTTTTCCATCTCAAACAGTGTTTTATGCCTGTATGAATGTTGCAGTGCAATATAGTCATATGCTGAAGATTAACATTGTTCAAAAATGTACCCTTCTTTCCTGTGTAATCAATGTGCATAAATCATTATCCTCCAACTTGAGCCAGTTGATTTAGTTGGTGGGTGAGTGAGTGGAGTTTTTTGCAAAGCAATGGCCTTTATGAAGGTTAAATGAAAGCTTTGTTTTTATAAAAACAAAGAATAAATTGCAGGCATTGAGCAAAATGTACTATCGAAAGACAACATATGGGCCGGTTCACACAGAACGTGTTTTTTTGGGTGGGGGGACGCTTGAGTCTTGAGTCTTTTAAAAGTTGAACTTATTTTAACTTGAGCGACGCGTTTTTATAATGCTGTGTCATGCGCGAGACGCTTGCAGAAGATGTAAGACACAAGCACAACGGTCCAACACGTCCATCTAGTGCGTTTACACGTTAAAATAATGGAAACGGAGCGCAGTTGAATGGAAAAACTCATTATGTGTGAC